TTTTGAGGCAATTATCCAACACATGGTATATTCATACGAAGGCATATCTTGGAAGTCAAGATATATGGGATTTGGTAGAGAGAGGTTTTGAACTTCAAAATAAAGATGGCTTGTCCAAGCCGAAAGAGACTTGCAACAGGCAACTAAGAGGAAGGATCAAAAAGCTCTCAGTGTGATTCATCAAGCACTTGATGATACAATTTTTCAAAAAATTTCGAATGCTACTACCACAAAGGATGCATGGGAAATTCTTGAAAACACCTATAAAGGTGTGAGCAAAGTCAAAAAGGTTCCCTCCAATCTTTGAGGGGAGAATACGAAGGACTTTCCATGAAAGAATCAAAATCAATTTCAAATTATACTTCATGAGTTTTGGTGCTTGTCAATGAAATGAAAAGATATGGAGAAGAAATGGACGATCTTCAAGTGATCGAATTTGTTTTCGATCTTTACATGAAAAATTCAATTTTATTGTAGTACAATTGAAGAGTCGAAGGATTTGGAAGAAATGACTATTGATGAAGTCGTGGACACCTTACAAGCTCATGATGAGAGGTTATTGAAGAAGAAACAACAACCAATTGAACAAGTCTTTCTTTGAAAGATGAGGATGAGAAGTGCAGTAGGAGCCAATGACGAAGAGGACGTGGGAGAGGTCAACGAAGAGGAGAGATAAATTTTCAAAATTCAGCCAACAAGGAAAGGAATTATCAACATTCATATAATTCAAGAGGACGAGGAAGACAAAATTATCAAAGAGGATGAGAAAGAAGAAACAATGATGGAAGGTATGACAAGTCTCAAGTTGAATGTTACAATTGTCATAAACTTGTGTATTTTGTATGGAAGTGTAGAAATAATAATGTTGAGGAGAAGTTCAATTATGTTGAAAAGGACAAAGGAAAATAAACATTACTCTTGGCATACAAGGTGCAAGGAGGTAACAATTCTTAGTAGTCATGGAGCTTGAAGAATTAAATGACCATGTTACTTTTGAAGATGCTTCAAAGGTTTTCAGTCAAGGAAAAAGGTAAAATTCTTATTCAACTGAAGAATGGAGAACACGGATATGTTTCTAATGTCTATAATGACCCTTCTATGAAAACAAATATTTTGAGTTTGGAACAACTTTTGGAGAAATGATATGACATCTGAATGAGAAATCAAGAGATGATGATTCAAGAACAAAATGTGAACTTGATAGCTAGAGTTCCAATGACAGAGAATCGAATGTTCTTGTTGAACATCCAAAGCAGAAAAGTTAAGTGCTTGAAGGCATGTATCAAAGATTCAACATGGCTATGTCAATTGATACTTGGGCATCTAAATTTTGACAGTTTGAATCTCTTGGTGAAGAAAAACATGTTAAAGGGACTGCCACATATTCATCATCCAAATCAACTTTTTGAAGGATGTCTTCATGCGAAGTAATCCTAAAAGGCTTTTCCAAAAGAAGCAAATTACTGAGCAACAAAGCTTTTGAATTGATGCATACATATCTTTGTTGAGCAATAAAACCACCATCATTTGGTAAAAATAATTATTTCATGCTATTTATTGATAATTTTTCTCTCCAAACTTGGGTTGATTATTTTAGAGAAAAGTTCGATGCAATTGAGAATTTTAAGAACTTTAAAGTGATGGTGGAAAATCAAAGTGGCTACAAGATCAAAGCTTTAAGCTCGGATCTTGGTGGTGAATATATTGGCAACAAATTCACAAGTTTTTGTAAAGAACATGGTATACATCATTCTTTGACTATTCCTATGTCACCTCAACAAAATGGCATAGCAGAGAAGAAAATAGGACAGTCATGGAAATGACTAAAAGTATGTTGAAGACCTTGCAATTACCAAAATAATTATGGGCATAAACTGCGCAATGTGTTGTGTATTTGCTTAATCGATACCCAACCAAAAGTGTACAAAGTATGACTTCAGAAGAAGCTTGAAGTGGATTCAAGCTAAGTGTGTTGCACTTACGTATTTTTCTTATTCTCACGTTCCAAAAGGAAAGAAGAGCAAATTGGATGACAAGAGTGAGAAATATATCTTTAGTGGGTATGATTCAAGATCGAGAAACGCTATAAACTCAAAGAATGAGAAGGTGATCACTAGTAGAGATGTTGAATTTGATGAAGAATGAATTTGGGATATGCAAAATTAGCAAGAAGAAAAGTATAATTTCTTTCCTTTTGATGATACTGAAGAACAGATTGGAGTGGTTTCACCTCAACTAACACTGCCATCAACTCCACCACAAAGTCATGGTCAAGATACAACTTCATCTTCAGCATCCTCAAGTGAAGGACTAGAAAGATATAGGAGTCTTCGTGAGATTTATGATGACACTGAGGATTTAACTCAACATCTTGAAGAATTAACTCTTTTTTGGTCTTTTCGCCGATCATGCAATTGTAGGATTTGATGATGCCATTCAAGAAGAGAAGTGGAAGAAAGCCATGTATGAAGAAATAAAAGCTATCAAAAGGAATGATACTTGGGAATTAACCCCACTTCTTGATGGTCAAAAACCTATTAGAGTTAAGTAGAT